TCAAGGCTTGTGTTTCACTGTAAATCAGTGTGATTGAGACCAGTTATTGATGGCCAGACCGATAACCTGGCAAACAGAAAGCTGTGAGAAATGTGCACAGATAGTGAGACAAATCAAAGATCGTTTTTACATTGGGGTTAGTATAGGGAGTGAAAGATACGGATGCTGCAACAACACAATTCTCTTCTCCATTACACTTGTAGATGACAGAACCCACGAGAGCTGAAAGTAGATTCTATTGCAGAGCTGAGACTTTCCAGAACCCTATTCTATTTCTATTGCGTGCAGCACCTTCTATTGGTTTTTGTTGAGTGTGAACATTACATCACAACGTGTGTTGGTGAACATGGCATTCTTGATTGTTGGCAGACATGGCTTTACGGTAGAATACATAATACAAGACTAAAAGGAGCGTGTGAACACTGGAGAGTAAAATACGATGCCTAGAATTTTATGAGTGAATCTCATAACATGGATGATTTAATTAATCTCCTCACGAAGCAAAATCAAAACAAACACCAAAGCAGTAAACAGCAGCCTGGCAAAACGGGGCTGCGTGCAAAATTCCCAAGTGTGAAAACATTTAAGAGGATATGTTGGCCATAACAAGTGGAATATATAATATGTGTTTTCATTAGTCTAATATATCACCTGAAAATAAGAGTGATTGTGTTTTTTTACGCCTTAAACTGAAAACCAGTTTTTATCTACCAGAGGGAGCGTAGTAGTTTTCCTACCCTCCCCCTAACTTGAAAGGCCTGAGCTGTATTCAAATGGTTGCAGTTTGCAACTTCACCACTAGATGCCACTAAATCTTACACACTGGTCCTTTAAAGTGGCACCTACAAGAGATTTAGAAGTAATTGAAATTCAGCACAGCAGCTTCTGTCTTTCTGCAGGTGTCTGTTCAGTTTCATCCTCTGTAGCACCCCAACAGTAACATAATTTCCTGTGTGCTCGTGTTAATATCTCTCATCCCTTCATGGTCTCACACATTTCTATATTTCTGTGACATTACAGCATGCGCTCATCACACCTCACTGGAAGTTGTACTATTTATATCTTCTAATTGTTTCGGATCCCATAACGTCACCACTAAACTGTGAAATTATTATTTTGTTTGACTCCTCTGTAACATTTTTCTTGAATAAAAGTTTCCACAGGCACCTTTATGTGGGTGTAGAAAATTAGCAATTTACGAAAAATTTGCGCAGAAAGTTTGATGAGTTCGAACTCACAGAGAAAGAGAGTTCAGGATAAGAATATAACAACTTGTCCCTCATATTCAAACTCCAATTGGAGCAGCAGTTGTAATCACTGTAATCAGCATTTTGTTTCCTCATGGATGCCTCTGCCAGCCTCAATCAAGTTACCGCAATGAGCAGACATCGAGGATCCGCTCCCATTGGGCGACGTGACCTCCGGGGGTCACAATCGAACTTGTTGCAGCTTCAGCTGGTGGCGGGGGGTGATTGTAAGGGTATAATTGTGCGATGGGTGTTGCTGGCTAACAGCCCTGACAGCGCACACAGACAATAGCCAGGGAGGCCAGGCCCGCAGCGAGAGATAATGATGTCACTGGTAGAGGTAGTTTCACATGGGAACTGGGAAGGAAAGGGGAAGGCCAGAGAGGGTTTAAGACAACCTCAGACCAGCAGCAGCCACAAAGTGGGCTTCCTGATTCCCACACTGACCTACTGGAGGGTGAGGCCTTAATAACGTCCACCCAAAGAGGTACTAGAAAGATAAGTGAAACTGAGTCACACTTTTCCTTTTGAGAAGCTGTATTTGGATGCAGTTTCTGGTTCGCATGTTTCTGATAATCCTCACTCCAAATGTGCGTGTAGCTTTTTAGTCCGATTACAAATCCTATTCTATCCTCAACTCAACTCAGCTCATCTGTTACGAGTGGATTTAATCTAGCTCACTATGCTGCGAGACAAGTTTATGAACATTTAAAGTCAGCTGCGGTGTTTCAATCCTGCTTTCCCTTCATAGTTTCATCTTCATTGTAAGATATTTTTTTGTTTGTTTTATTGCTGAAGCTGAGGCAATAACCCTGAACAAAAAAAAAAATGTGTTTCTTGTTTTTTACTGTCTTTACAAGTCCCATTTGACTGGGTTGTGGTGCTTCAGAAATAAAACGAAGTGGGGTTTGTTCGCATGAAACACAGAAAAACTGAACAACAAATACTCTTCCCTCCCTCAGTATCTGACGTTAAAGTGCCCTTGAGCAAGGCGTTTAATCCCTAATTGTGTTTATGGAGCTTACATAGCTTAAAGTACAGGACTGTTGTTGTGCAGTGCAGCTCCCAGGAGTTAAACTTTGTTATTATGTATAAAGTAGAGTATAAAGCAGCTGAAAAGGGAGTATTCATGCTCAGTTAACTCCTTCTCTGGATGAATAAAGGCAAAAGGAAAAAGATTGATGCATTTACTGAGGCAATTAGTCCTAAATGCCTCTCTTAGACACAGAAGTGGCACACTCTGGGGCTTTTCCTATCTACAAAATCTGTGGTTTTGAGTCATTATCCCTCAGTCCTCACTGGCCCTTTAGATAACTGTGCCCTGGAGCAGGGCGCAAGCTGAGAAAATCCCATCAAGTTTAGATGGTTTGAAAGACATCTGGTGTGTGGAGCTGGGGGCTAATGCAACCCTGCATGTTAATCTGAAGAGCAGTTAGAAGTTCACCAGCATGTCATTCACCGAAGCATTTTAAAACTGCCAGAGAAGTGTTTTAAATAACACTTCTCTGGCATAATAACTCTTGTGTATTAAAGGAATAGTTCCACATTTCAGGAAATACGGTGGAGATGGAAAGCACTCTTGTGTCTGTATGTTAAATACAAAGCTACAGCCAACAAATGATTAGCTTAGCTTAGCATAAAGATTGGAAACAGAAACTAGTTTGATTTGTCCAATAGCTAACAAAAAACCCCACTCTCTAAATCTGATGTCTATTAACATCTTCAATTCAATTCAATTTTATTTGTATAGCGCCAATTCATAACAGAAGTTATCTCAGGACACTTTTCAAATAGAGCAGGTCTAGACCGAACTCCTTTTAACATTTACAGAGACCCAACAGTACCACCATCTCATATCTTGTTTGTTTATGTAAAAAACACTAGTTTTTCAGAGGGTTTTGTGGCGAACTACTTCCTGACGGGGAGCAGTGACTTCCTGAAGTCTTGTCATCAAAGTGAGGTTGCCAGGCAACCCACACAGACTCCAAGACACCACCCATAAAACCAACATTTTGACACTTTTTGGTCCAGATTAAACAAAGAAGATATAATGTGTCAATTCGTGACCTTTGGTGGTGCTGGAAACAGGCTGGCTAACTGTTTCCCTCTGTTCCCAGTCTTTATGCTAAGCTAAGCTAACTGGCTGCTGGCTGTAGCTTCAAGTTTAAAGTAGAGACATGAGAGTGGTATCAATCTTTTCTAATTCTTCTTAACAAGAAATAAAATAGGTGGATTTCTCAAAATGTCAAACTATTCCCTTTACATTTATTAGATTTTACTAAAACCTGACATTATGTGACAAAGGGTAAACACTGTTTTTGTTTTGTTTAAATAAAGAGATTTTTGTTTTAAATAATGTCTCTTTCTTTCTGCAGAACCTGATGGCCAAAGCGTTGTACGACAATGTGCCGGAGTCCCCCGAGGAGCTGGCCTTCCGTAAAGGGGACATCCTGACCGTTATTGAGCAGAACACGGGGGGCCTGGAGGGCTGGTGGCTCTGCTCCCTGCACGGCCGCCAAGGCATCGCTCCTGGCAACCGTCTGAAGCTGCTGATCGGACCCATGTTCGAGGCTCAGTCGCCGGCCGCTGCCGCCGCCGGCCGGTCATCTCCTCAGAGCGCGGCCTATCAGCAGAAGCCTGGCTCGGGGTCTGAGGGGATCTACCAGGTGCCACCTTCTATCCAGAGTCCACAGCAGAGTCAGCAGAGCATCTACCAGGTTCCTCCCGGACAAGACGTCTACCAAGTCCCTCCGAGGAGTACTCTAGCTGCCGATAACACCCCGAGCAAGGTGAGACAGCGAGAGAGAGAGAGCAAGAGAGGAGACGTTACCCTAGAGCTGCAACTAATGCGTTTTTCCATTATCAGTGAATCTGTCAATTACTTTATGATTAATCATTTAATCCAATCATGCCACCATGGAGCGCCAACAAGGCTGGACCAGCTGATTTCACTGATTAGTGTTCCTTCAAGCAGAGGGGAGGAACTCATCAGTGAAACCACCCGCCGAGGTTGGGATGAACACCTGCGGCACATTATTCGTCATTAAATAAAATAAAAAATACCTGAAACAGCCACAGTGACGTCTTACACTCGGTTGTTTTGTCCAAAACATAACAATATTCAATTATATAGTGACATAAAACATAAAATCCTCATATATGAAAGACTGGAACCAGAGAATATTTTGTATTTTTGCTTAATAAAAGACAATTAATCCACTGATTCTTTGATGATGATAGTCCTAAAGTAATGGCATACATTCTTGCTGTAATATTTATCATATATAAAGGTAGAGATAGAGACTGGTCTGTTCTTTGACCTCTGGAGATGGTTCCTCAGGATCAGAGCGGATTTAAAACATAATGTCGTGGTGGGTGTGGCTTCTGCTGGCGAGCGCTGGGGTATTAGATGTGACAGGACATGACATTTATGCATTTACACTGTGACCTGTTATCCTGCCAATCTGCCACGACTCTCATCAGTAAGAATGCACACACACACACACACACACACACAGAAAGCAGAAGATATTGTGGGTCTGCGATGTGAAATGTGGACAGGGTGTGCCGGGCCTGGCGCTCACCACAGTGCAGGGTAGTGTTTTTGTGCAGAGCTCCCATTTGGCTTTTCTTGTCCACTGGCACACTGTGTGTAGCAGAGCCAGTCTAAGCCACAGAAGGGCACTGAATATGGGAAAAAACTTGTGGAAAAGCAAACAGCACAGAGCTGTTTTTTTGGATTTTGGTCGAGCCCAGCTGCCTGAAAGTCTTTTTTTTTTGGTGTATTTAAATGCTGTACACAGGGTTGCTTGCAAACCCATTACACCTGGCATGGTCCTTTACCATATAGCTATATATACAATCCTCCAAGCAGCCTTATATATATTGTGTTATTGGCTGGATGGTATATCATTTAAAGCATATATCTCAGGCTGTCCTAGAAAATACAGCCTGTTATTGCACACTGATACAACCAGCTGCCCAGTGAGCCACATTTGTTCTGATACATATGCAGAGGAATCATCTTTATTGAATGTTTATTCATTTACAACACAGTGGAATAATAAGTATAAATGTTTCCTGTAATGTGCAGGCTCACTGATGCAGATGCCTGAAGAAATTTGAAATTGAACAATTTAGAAATTAAAAAAAGAAAATAAAAAGTATTATACATAAAGAAAATAGAATATCGAGGTATAGTATTACTATATTTCCCCATAGAAATCAGATCTGATCAATCTGTGACTAGATGTTACCAATTGTTAGCAAATGTTCCAGCTAACATTAGCTACCATAAGCAACTAGTCATTTCATTTACTTATAGTAGCTACTGTGAGCTGATGTGTTGACTAACATCAGTAATTCCTGTCACTTTGGTAGCTGATGTTAGCTAAATTAATCTAGGTATTTCTTTATAACTGAGCTGGTTTGCTGACATTGACCCCTCCGTGCTACCGTTGTGTGATCCTTCATTACAAATGAAAGTCACTGGCAGGTGTGTTGCTTAAACAGGGAGGAAGGATTTCCCTGTTTATTCAACCGTTTAACCAGTTCTAGCACCTCAGACCAGATCATCCCTCCAGGAAACGGGTAGTAATTACATGCTGGATGAGCTTTTCATATCCCCAAGGGTGTTTTTTCCCCCCAACAAATCATCTCCAGCCATCATATAAATGAGCTAAGGAGTGCATTTTAGTAGGTAAAATAGGCAGCAGGCGCCGACAGCTTAGAGGACTTTGTGTGATTCGCTGTGTGATAAAGTCAGTCGGAGCCAGGGGGCTGAGAGCAGAGACCTGTCAATCAACATTGCACACTGCAGCTCAGTCAACCAAACACCTCTCTTTTCCACTAACACGCCTCAAAGCTTAAAACTGAGCAATGGTATTAAAAAAAAAGGCTTTGGTGATAACATGGAAAATTAAATGTGCCTCTAATGAGAGTGTGTTTTGTGCTGTAATCATGTTATTGGAGAGATTAAATTAAAGTCTTTCCCTCCAATCTGTGGTTATCAAAGCAGTTTTCAGCGGTTGTTCCTGTCTGTTAAGTAGAGAGATTTATTTATTTTAAACTGTGTGTTACACTCCTTCGTCTGTGTGTCGGCGTATTGCAGGAGTCCAGACAAGGCTCTGTTGTTTTCCAGTGACGTCTCGCTGTTGGACAGAAGTCGGTCTCTGTGGCCAGAAGTCAAGTTTAGTGCAAACTGCAGAACAGCGATTTGCAGGAAAAGTGCTGTTGGTTCACATAGTGGAAGCTGAAGGAGGTTATTTTGGGGTGTCCATGGTTGGCATTGTTAGGTAGGTGGAGCCCCTCCGAAGGGCTTGGAGGGACGTGAAACTTAATTTAGCTTTTTGGTAAAAAAGTTAAAGATACGTACCGATACATAAAATCATAAGGAGGCTAATTTTAGACTGTTAGCATTCACTGCTAACAGTGAGCAGAAGCTAAAAACTATATTTTGTGGAAAACTGGCTACTTTTAGTCCGTTGTCTTTCTTCAAGTTTAATATTCGTTACTTAACTTTAAATATAACAAACAAGTTTTTCTCCAACACAGAGCTTCGTACCCTTTTTTGACCATTTTGCCTTTTAAAGTACAATATTTCATCTTAACTCTTGAACTTATTAACACAAACTTAACTTACTGTTTTACCTTCATCTGTTTTGTTTTTTGCACTCTGAAACTCTGAGCACACTGCGTCATAGTATTTGTGGGGATCATTTTTGTTGACGTGAAATCCAAAACCTGACCTTTGCTCTTAAAAAACACCAGCCTCAGTGTTGTTTACTACTGTCTTTGTGGAGCAGTATTGATGACAGGCCCCGAGCGTTGACTCATGCTGCATGCGGTGTAAAGTGCTACGAGCCGATGGAGCCGAAGGGGGAAAAACAGCCATTTTCTCGCTGTCAAGTGCAAACATGCATGTGAGATAGACGTTTGCTGAATGATTACGGAGACTGATGCTGGCTTCCTGAACTGATAATCCCCTCTCATATTACTCTAAAGCCCCCCCTCCCGCAGAGAAAGGTTCCTGCACGTCCTCGACCATGTGTGCGTAGATGTCATGCATTTATGCGTCTGTCCTCGGGTTTGCATGCCAACCCCGCAGTGCAAATCCAGATTGGCGACTGGTTATTTTCTCTTCATGTGGTGTTGGGGCTCTGGTATATAAAGGCACACTGAGGTTTGGCACTCTCCTCCTCTCTGGCTGTTTGGTTTGATGCTGCGGCCTTGTCCTTGGGTGACCCTCTTGGGAGGGTGAGCTGCACAACTTCCCACCACCCACCCCGACTTCTTCAAGGCCTCCATGTTGGGAACACGTGGGACAGATGGCCTGGAGGGTCAGCGTACTTTGTGGCCAACAGATTTTTCATTTTGAAATGAGAATCTGGAAACAAGCTGTTTTTTTCTGATTTTTGTTTTGAAAATAAAAAAAGATAAATCTTCAGGTTTTTTTGTTAAAAAACTAATAATAAATAAAAGAAAACTTTATTTTTTCCTTTTTTAAAAATAGACAGAAAATTAATCAACAACCTTTTTTTTAAAAAAAAACTAAGAAAGAAAAAATTACACCATCCTTTTTATGTTTTTAAAATAAAAAAAGAGACATTTTCTGTTTTTTAAAAACAGAAAACAAAAACTTTTTTTTGGTTGTAAAAAAAACTAAAAAAGAAAAAATGACATTTCCACTATACACGTTTTGAAACT